CATCCAAGACCGAGTGGCTGTGGTTTCCGACGTCCCGATATAGTCAGTTGATGTCATCGCTGACTATTGCGGGCGAATCGCTGGCCCCCACGGAGAGGGCTCGCAACTTGGGTGTCCTCCTGGATTCACGGCTGTCTTTAGAAGAGCACTTGACGGCCGTGACCGGGAGGATTTTTCATCAGGTTCACCTGATCTGCCAGTTGCGTCCCTTTCTGGATTGGGACTCCCTACACTAATAAATAAAACTAAACTAAACTAGACTATTGTGTGATATTGTTTTAAGTATCAAATGAAAGCCTGGTACCATTAAGTGAGAAAATACGTAAAAAACTAGCATGAACCATATACATCTAAGCAACCAAGTTCCACTCCAGGAAAACAATATTCTATAAGTATGACTTTGGACAGTAACTCTCTATCAACACAACCGGACCTCATAGGATTGTGAGAAAAAAAGGAGGAAGGAAGATTAGATAGGATTGCTCCCTTGAGTTGTTTATGAAAATAAAGCTGAGATAGAATTTTCACAACAAAACACAGGACTACATTCTCTTTCCCACGCAGTAAGCACCAAAAGACTTAAAGTGGCAGCAAAAGGGGGCAAAAGCCTACAGACCCGGTATTCCCAGGCGGTCTCCCATCCAAGTACTAACCAGGCCTGACCCTGCTTAGCTTCCGAGATCAGACGGGATCGGGCGCTTTCAGGGTAGTATGGCCGTAGACGGCACTCAAGCTGCTTGCCGCTGCCTTTAAGCAACCCGCAGCTATGACCGTATGCAGCAATCCCCAGGCCAGGCGATCTCAAATTCGGGGGGTGGGCGACTGGCACGTCTTGATGAAAATTACACCGTCCCAGGGTGTTGCGATGCTGTCTCCTTCGTAATCTTCCCAGCGGGCGTCCGGCAGGGCAAAGCCAATGCGGCCAGGCAGGCTCGCTTAACGACAGATGATTCACTTGGCCACGGCAGGGATTCTGGTCACCACTGTGGCAAAGATGCAATTCACTTCACAACCGCCTTGCTTGGAAAAGGGAAACTTAGGGCTGAATTGCGGTGGTAAGCCAAGGACTACCTGCCTATCACAAAACTTAGCTTTCGAGCTTTGATTGATTGGGCGGCTATCGAGTATCTTGGGGAGGGGGGGGACCCAGGCGGGGCCGGGGCTGGCAAGCAAGCAGGGTTGCCTTCCGTTGGCCAGGCTGCAAGCGGCACCAAAAGACTTAAAGTGGCAGCAAAAGCCTACAGCACCCGGTATTCCCAGGCGGTCTCCCATCCAAGTACTAACCAGGCCTGACCCTGCTTAGCTTCCGAGATCAGACGGGATCGGGCGCTTTCAGGGTAGTATGGCCGTAGACGGCACTCAAGATGCTTGCCGCTGCCTTTAAGCAACCCGCAGCGCCCCCTGTTCAAGCCCTCGTAGGGAATCCGAGCCAGGGTCTCATCGCATTCCCACAGGCCCATCCCTCCTCCTTTGCCTGCCGCCCAGCCTGTCTCTACCGCACACACCGGCTCTGGGGATGTGCCTCTCGGGCTCTTCCCACCACTCCATCCTTCTCCCCTCAACCTAGCAAGCCTGGACGCCTCATGGTCGGCTCCCGAGCCGGGCCGCTGGTCGCTCCCGGGCTCCATTCCGATGGAACCTGCAGGCAAAATGCAGCTGCCACACACTCCGCCCTGCAGGGCAGGCCGTCCACACTCTGGCCAAACAGAGAGAAAAGGCCAGCTGCCAACCAGACCTTGGTCACTGGCGCAGGCCGGCAGAAGAAGGGTGGAATTAAAACCCCGACTTAAGCGGTGTCTCTCTTTTTAGAGGACGTCTCAGTTCTTCTTGTCGGCTATAGGTTTTAGTTTTCGAAAACGTTCTTTCGCTTTCCGGAATTCATACACATAGACACGGGTAGAGGCAGCTACAGGTGCACGCACATATATAAACAGATAGCCCTTGAGCTGAAACCGTTAACCTAGCGACCTTGGAAATGCCCATGGGCACTGTAAAAAGGGCCGCATGACCGTTGTTCGCACCTATGACCGTTGCAGCATCCTCACGGCCAGGCGATCCAAATTCGAGGGTGGGCGACTGGCACGTCTTGATGAAAATTACACCGTCCCAGGGTCGTGCGATGCTCCTTCGTAATCTTCCCAGCGGGCGTCCGACAGGCAAAGCCAATGCGGCCAGCAGGCTCGCTTAACGACAGATGATTCACTTGGCCACGGCAGGGATTCTGGTCACCACTGTGGCAAAGATGCAATTCACTTCACAACCGCCTTGCTTGGAAAAGGGAAACTTAGGGCTGAATTGCGGTGGTAAGCCAAGGACTACCTGCCTATCACAAAACTTAGCTTTCGAGCTTTGATTGATTGGGCGGCTATCGAGTATCTTGGGGAGGGGGGGACCCAGGCGGGGCCGGGGCTGGGGCAAGCAGGGTTGCCTTCCGTTGGCCAGGCTGCAAGCGGCACCAAAAGACTTAAAGTGGCAGCAAAAGGGGGCAAAAGCCTACAGCACCCGGTATTCCCAGGCGGTCTCCCATCCAAGTACTAACCAGGCCTGACCCTGCTTAGCTTCCGAGATCAGACGGGATCGGGCGCTTTCAGGGTAGTATGGCCGTAGACGGCACTCAAGCTGCTTGCCGCTGCCTTTAAGCAACCCGCAGCGCCCCCTGTTCAAGCCCTCGTAGGGAATCCGAGCCAGGGTCTCATCGCATTCCCACAGGCCCATCCCTCCTCCTTTGCCTGCCGCCCAGCCTGTCTCTACCGCACACACCGGCTCTGGGGATGTGCCTCTCGGGCTCTTCCCACCACTCCATCCTTCTCCCCTCAACCTAGCAAGCCTGGACGCCTCATGGTCGGCTCCCGAGCCGGGCCGCTGGTCGCTCCCGGGATCCATTCCGATGGAACCTGCAGGCAAAATGCAGCTGCCACACACTCCGCCCTGCAGGGCAGGCCGTCCACACTCTGGCCAAACAGAGAGAAAAGGCCAGCTGCCAACCAGACCTTGGTCACTGGCGTAGGCCGGCAGAAGAAGGGTGGAATTAAAACCCCGACTTAAGCGGTTTCTCTCTTTTTAGAGGACGTCTCAGTTCTTCTTGTCGGCTATAGGTTTTAGTTTTCGAAAACGTTCTTTCGCTTTCCGGAATTCATACACATAGACACGGGTAGAGGCAGCTACAGGTGCACGCACATATATAAACAGATAGCCCTTGAGCTGAAACCGTTAACCTAGCGACCTTGGAAATGCCCATGGGCACTGTAAAAAGGGCCGCATGACCGTTGTTCGCACCTATGACCGTTGCAGCATCCCCACGGCCAGGCGATCCAAATTCGGGGGTGGGCGACTGGCACGTCTTGATGAAAATTACACCGTCCCAGGGTCGTGCGATGCTCCTTCGTAATCTTCCCAGCGGGCGTCCGACAGGCAAAGCCAATGCGGCCAGCAGGCTCGCTTAACGACAGATGATTCACTTGGCCACGGCAGGGATTCTGGTCACCACTGTGGCAAAGATGCAATTCACTTCACAACCGCCTTGCTTGGAAAAGGGAAACTTAGGGCTGAATTGCGGTGGTAAGCCAAGGACTACCTGCCTATCACAAAACTTAGCTTTCGAGCTTTGATTGATTGGGCGGCTATCGAGTATCTTGGGGAGGGGGGGACCCAGGCGGGGCCGGGGCTGGGGCAAGCAGGGTTGCCTTCCGTTGGCCAGGCTGCAAGCGGCACCAAAAGACTTAAAGTGGCAGCAAAAGGGGGCAAAAGCCTACAGCACCCGGTATTCCCAGGCGGTCTCCCATCCAAGTACTAACCAGGCCTGACCCTGCTTAGCTTCTGAGATCAGACGGGATCGGGCGCTTTCAGGGTAGTATGGCCGTAGACGGCACTCAAGCTGCTTGCCGCTGCCTTTAAGCAACCCGCAGCGCCCCCTGTTCAAGCCCTCGTAGGGAATCCGAGCCAGGGTCTCATCGCATTCCCACAGGCCCATCCCTCCTCCTTTGCCTGCCGCCCAGCCTGTCTCTACCGCACACACCGGCTCTGGGGATGTGCCTCTCGGGCTCTTCCCACCACTCCATCCTTCTCCCCTCAACCTAGCAAGCCTGGACGCCTCATGGTCGGCTCCCGAGCCGGGCCGCTGGTCGCTCCCGGGCTCCATTCCGATGGAACCTGCAGGCAAAATGCAGCTGCCACACACTCCGCCCTGCAGGGCAGGCCGTCCACACTCTGGCCAAACAGAGAGAAAAGGCCAGCTGCCAACCAGACCTTGGTCACTGGCGCAGGCCGGCAGAAGAAGGGTGGAATTAAAACCCCGACTTAAGCGGTGTCTCTCTTTTTAGAGGACGTCTCAGTTCTTCTTGTCGGCTATAGGTTTTAGTTTTCGAAAACGTTCTTTCGCTTTCCGGAATTCATACACATAGACACGGGTAGAGGCAGCTACAGGTGCACGCACATATATAAACAGATAGCCCTTGAGCTGAAACCGTTAACCTAGCGACCTTGGAAATGCCCATGGGCACTGTAAAAAGGGCCGCATGACCGTTGTTCGCACCTATGACCGTTGCAGCATCCCCACGGCCAGGCGATCCAAATTCGGGGGTGGGCGACTGGCACGTCTTGATGAAAATTACACCGTCCCAGGGTCGTGCGATGCTCCTTCGTAATCTTCCCAGCGGGCGTCCGACAGGCAAAGCCAATGCGGCCAGCAGGCTCGCTTAACGACAGATGATTCACTTGGCCACGGCAGGGATTCTGGTCACCACTGTGGCAAAGATGCAATTCACTTCACAACCGCCTTGCTTGGAAAAGGGAAACTTAGGGCTGAATTGCGGTGGTAAGCCAAGGACTACCTGCCTATCACAAAACTTAGCTTTCGAGCTTTGATTGATTGGGCGGCTATCGAGTATCTTGGGGAGGGGGGGACCCAGGCGGGGCCGGGGCTGGGGCAAGCAGGGTTGCCTTCCGTTGGCCAGGCTGCAAGCGGCACCAAAAGACTTAAAGTGGCAGCAAAAGGGGGCAAAAGCCTACAGCACCCGGTATTCCCAGGCGGTCTCCCATCCAAGTACTTAACCAGGCCTGACCCTGCTTAGCTTCCGAGATCAGACGGGATCCGGCGCTTTCAGGGTAGTATGGCCGTAGACGGCACTCAAGCTGCTTGCCGCTGCCTTTAAGCAACCCGCAGCGCCCCCTGTTCAAGCCCTCGTAGGGAATCCGAGCCAAGGTCTCATCGCATTCCCACAGGCCCATCCCTCCTCCTTTGCCTGCCGCCCAGCCTGTCTCTACCGCACACACCGGCTCTGGGGATGTGCCTCTCGGGCTCTTCCCACCACTCCATCCTTCTCCCTCAACCTAGCAAGCCTGGACGCCTCATGGTCGGCTCCCGAGCCGGGCCGCTGGTCGCTCCCGGGCTCCATTCCGATGGAACCTGCAGGCAAAATGCAGCTGCCACACACTCCGCCCTGCAGGGCAGGCCGTCCACACTCTGGCCAAACAGAGAGCAAAGGCCAGCTGCCAACCAGACCTTGGTCACTGGCGCAGGCCGGCAGAAGAAGGGTGGAATTAAAACCCCGACTTAAGCGGTTTCTCTCTTTTTAGAGGACGTCTCAGTTCTTCTTGTCGGCTATAGGTTTTAGTTTTCGAAAACGTTCTTTCGCTTTCCGGAATTCATACACATAGACACGGGTAGAGGCAGCTACAGGTGCACGCACATATATAAACAGATAGCCCTTGAGCTGAAACCGTTAACCTAGCGACCTTGGAAATGCCCATGGGCACTAAAGTAAAAGGGCCGCATGACCGTTGTTCGCTACCACTATGACCGTTGCAGCATCCCCACGGCCAGGCGATCCAAATTCGGGGTGGGCGACTGGCACGTCTTGATGAAAATTACACCGTCCCAGGGTCGTGCGATGCTCCTTCGTAATCTTCCCAGCGGGGCGTCCGACAGGCAAAAGCCAATGCGGCCAGCAGGCTCGCTTAACGACAGATGATTCACTTTGCCACGGCAGGGATTCTGGTCACCACTGTGGCAAAGATGCAATTCACTTCACAACCGCCTTGCTTGGAAAAGGGAAACTTAGGGCTGAATTGCGGTGGTAAGCCAAGGACTACCTGCCTGTCACAAAACTTAGCTTTCGAGCTTTGATTGATTGGGCGGCTATCGAGTATCTTGGGGAGGGGGGGACCCAGGCGGGGCCGGGGCTGGGGCAAGCAGGGTTGCCTTCCGTTGGCCAGGCTGCAAGCGGCACCAAAAGACTTAAAGTGGCAGCAAAAGCCTACAGCACCCGGTATTCCCAGGCGGTCTCCCATCCAAGTACTAACCAGGCCTGACCCTGCTTAGCTTCCGAGATCAGACGGGATCGGGCGCTTTCAGGGTAGTATGGCCGTAGACGGCACTCAAGCTGCTTGCCGCTGCCTTTAAGCAACCCGCAGCGCCCCCTTTTCAAGCCCTCCTTTGCCTGCCACCCAGCCTGTCTCTACCGCACACACCGGCTCTGGGGATGTGCCTCTCGGGCTCTGCCCACCACTCCATCCTTCTCCCCTCAACCTAGCAAGCCTGGACGCCTCATGGTTGGCTCCCGAGTCGGTCCGCTGGTCGCTCCTGGGCTCCATTCTGATGGAACCTGCAGGCAAAATGCACTGCCACACACTCTGCCCTGCAGGGCAGGCCGTCCACACTCTGGCCAGAGACAAAAGGCCAATTCTGTCCCACTCATGCATACACACACACATGCCATGGATGTAAGGAGTTTTTATTAAGGCTTTGAAGGGTCTATTGGTATTCCATAGCAATTTGCTCTGTTAGCACTAGCTGAATCCAAAAGAGTTCCACAGGCAATTCAAATGTAGCTAGCAAGTGCAGTCCACTAGGAAAAGCAAGTTCCCAAAGCAATGGTTAGTTCCAAGGAAATGCAGTCCACAGGAAATGCAAGTTAAGTCAAAGTAAGTCATGTGATAGACAGCAGCTGAATAATCAATTGTTAAGACAAGAACACGCAGGAATGAAATGAACAGGTTGTTTCTGTAGGAAGTTAGCACCCACCCCTTTCCTGGAAGAGTGAAATATTTTAGGAAATATGAAAAAGGCAGAATATTATATTTCCTGGGATAAGCATGTTTTGAAGCAGCTCCCATCTTCCTGCCCCCACCCTTTGTCAATGGGCCATTAAGGCTTGGGCCAGTCTATTCTACATAACAAAGATCTGCCTCCTTCAGGCAGAGCCATAGTAGGAATTGCCAAAGATCAACAAAGATAGGATTAGCCCTCTACACAATAGCAGCAGAAACTCACCACATGTGACCTGGGAAGCATGTGACCTGGGAAGGATATATGTGACCATCAGCCAGCAAGGCTAGCTAAGACCCCCACCCCTTGGGAATCTGACAACCAATCAGGATACTCTTTCTGGGCCCCAGGAAGTTCAGAGCCAGGGAGAGCATAAAAACCCAGGGACTCACTGTATCTGCCCCTTTATTGTTCAGGAACTCAAGCCATGTGATCCTGTCCACCATTAAACCATCTTTCCAAGCAGTCTCCATGCCTCCAGTGTCTTTTTCCCCACTTGGAGCAGAACCTAGAAGGAGATTTCTTCCAACATTTCCATCATCATCTCTATCTGTGTGCTTTGCTAAATAGCCAGCATCTGATGCAGCCCGTCAAAAACGGAGAGACTGCTTCCTCGCAAATAATCTGGGTGACCTTCACTGCTCCTGCCTTTTTTCTGCCCTATGTGTTCTTGGATCAGGTGCAATAGGTAGTTCCTCTTTCTCATCGCTGACTCACTGCAGCTGCATTTTTTCCCCACCTTAAGTCTCAGGGCTGTCCTGCTGCAGGGGGCCTTCAACCAAATCAGCCTATTGCTTGGAGACATTGACCAATTCCCCTCCTAATGTTTCTGTAAGTGGTTTATCCTCCTCCGAGTTGACATTTGGAGTGGTGTCTGGGGGAGTCATCACATATGGCTGTAGACCAGGAGTGTCAAACTGATGGCCCGTGGGCCGGATGCGTCATTCACAGGCCACACCCACCACAGCACCACGAATGGGAAAAATGTCATAAATTGTCATGTGACAGCAATGTGATGTTGGAAGTTTGACACCTGTGCTTAAGATGTGCTCAGGCTGCTTGCTGCTGCCTTTAAGCAACCTATAGCACCACTCATTTTCCTTGCATTCTCTCAGGCTCATCCTTCCTCCTTTGTCTACTGCTACTGCAGCCATTCAGCCTGTCTCAACTGCACTCACCGCAATTCTGGGGCTGTGCCTCTCACTCTCTGCCAAAAACTCCATCCTTTTTTCTTTTGGGATCTAACATTTTTTAAAAAAGTCTTTTATCTGTTTTTGTATTTCACATATATAGTACGTATCTATTCTGATATCCCCTGAATTACAACCATTCATTTAGGAGACCATTGTAATTTACAGACGTAATGAAAAAATTGACTTATTGTTTACGAGTATTGATTATCATCCCCATGGATGCCCTGCAACTGACTCATATTTATGATAGTTGCAGTGTCCTGGGTTCACATGATCACCTTTTGTGGTCTTCTTACAAGCAAAGCAAGCCAGATTCATTTAACAACCATGTTAGTATCTTAAGAACTGTAGTGGCTCACTTATGAAATGTGGGAAAAAATGTCATAAAATGAGGAAAAACCCACTTAGGAACTGTCTTGTTTAGCAAGATAAATTTTGGGCTCCACTGTAGTCATAATTTAAGACTACAGAGCTTAAATGGACTCTAGAGGACAGGAAAACCTGGAGGAACGTTGTCCATGGGGTCGCGATGGGTCGGACACGACTTCGCAACTAACAACAATAATGATTTTATGTGTTCGTTTGTTTTATTGCACATTCTTGAGAGTCACTTCCTCCTGTGATAGGCTACTGTATCAATTAGATGAATAAGAAAAAAAAACACTATTGGTTAGAGTTCCCTTTTGCATTTGAGTTGTACCTGTGGTCTTATGCAATGATCCAGGCATAAAGGACAGGACCTTCTTTCACCATCAAGCGGCAGCATACTGGATAACATGGGTCCTTCATGTCCAAAAGTTGCCATGCCATTCATTTCTGGTTGCTTTATTCTGCTCGTCCCAGGATCCCACCCTGTGAAAAAATTGCATTAAATTTTGTATTTAAGAGGAAATAAAACCTTTTGGTGTGTTAGATACTCAGTAAACACTGAGTGAAGCTGAAAAGGCTTCACTCAGGTCCACCGCCAGGCGGGAAGAATAATTTAAATTGATTGGTCGAGCTGCCTGGCAGCTCCTATAAAAGGGCAGGCTACCAGGCGGGGATTGCTTGAAGTTACATTGTTATAATAAAGAGCTGAAGTCACATTTGCTGCTCTCTGTCAATCAATCACTCACAACATAACATGATGAGATTCTTATCTTAGGTGAATGTTCTCCAAAGGTGAGCTGAGGAACATCAAAATTGTAGGTTATATAGTTAGCTCTGTGAGGTGGTACAAAGAACAAGCAAACCTAGAAATGCTACCTCTAACATTATTGTAAAATTATATTAACAAGTTTGAAAGATTGATAGAGCATCTCTGCCCTTTCACCTTTACAATTCCACTTCCCTGAGAAAGTCCCTTCTGAAATGTTTTCCATACTTATCAGCCATTCCTTCTGCATTCTTCACTGCCTTTTGTCCGAGTTGTCTGTCTAATCCGGGGGTCTTCCTCCTATCTCCCAAAATCATTCCAACATACCACAGAAACCTGTTTTCTATGAGTCAATGTCTTTCTTGAATATATTGCCAACTGTGAAAAACTAGATTTGGATAGATGTACACTCAAACAGTGAATTACAACCCTTATTGGGATTTGTATCAGGACTACTGCAAGCAAATGTGCACGTTGTACACACACAAAAAAAGGTGCCTTCACCAGGGGTTGGGCAAATAACATTTTAAAAATCAGTTATCCATTCCAAACACACTTGTTCCAAAACAAGCGCTATTTATCAATTCAGAGAAATCGTACATATTGCTCCATCTGAAATTTCCTAGT